TGTTTAATTTCTCGTTCTTCTTGTTTCTTTCTTTTTCCTCTAACAACTGCTGTATTCTCTCTTCTTGTTTAATTTCTCGTTCTTCTTGTTTCTTTTCTTTTTCCTCTAACAACTGCTGTAATCTCTCTTCTTGTATCTTTTCTCGTTCTTCTTGTTTCTTTCTTTTTCCTCCAACAACTGCTGTAATCTCTCTTGTTTATTCTGTTGTTCGAGCTGCCACTGTTGCAGGTTTTCTTGCAACTGCTGTTGTCTCTCTTCTTGTTTCTTTCTTTTTCCTCCAACAACTGCTGTAATCTCTCTTCTTGTTTAATTTCTCGTTCTTCTTGTTTCTTTTCTTTTTCCTCTAACAACTGCTGTAATTTCTCTTCTTGTTTATTTTCTTTCTCCTCCAACAACTGCTGTAATTTCTCTTATTGTTTCTTTTCTTTTTCCTCCAACAACTGCTGTAATCTCTCCTCTTCTTGTTTCTTTTCTCGTTCTTCTTGTTTCTTTTGGTGCTCTTGTATTGCTGCCATCACGTCTACTATGCTGTAGTTTGATTTGCCGCTTCTCGTTTCCATTTTTTTTATCGTTCCACTTCTGACACCAATTTGTTACGTCTCCGTTTGTTAATTAACTTTCCGTAACTTCGTTCCGACGAAACTTTAGCGACACAAGTCCTTACTTAATAAAACTGGTTTATTCTTCCTGAATATAACTTCACGATACACTTATTTTTAACAGTCGCTCTATAACAAACCCTATATCAACGAACGTCAACAATACTTCTGACTGCAGTTGATTTACTCACTATCTACACACACATTGCCTTCCCGTCACGTTGTCACCCTCTTTTATATACCAGACTACCCTATATCTAGTAAACGCTAGAGCATTCGCCAAGGTACAGGATAGTTCTACAAACGTGGCGTCACACTAGTCATGTGACTTCGCTTACGCAACACTATTATAGGGTCACATCATGCCTGCCTCATGCAGGAACTTCAAAGTTTCTTTTCCAAAGACAAATTACATAGTCAGTTACATGTTCAAATTAATTATAACACATATACTTAATACCGTTTCTTAACACTGAACTATAGCACTAACTTTCAATAATAAATAATTAAAATTCATATACTAATCTTTACTCAGAAGTTTGAACATTGTGTGGTGTTTTAAATTAAATATTATTGTCACTAAATTAAACCCTAGATACAAATAATTACAAGTAGACTACATTTTAACTAAAGACGATAACAAATTAATAAAGAGGTTCAAGAATTAGCTGGAAAACGAATCAGAATATGAAAGTTCAAAGGAAACTTATGAGAACTGAATAGTGGCCAATGACACTTTTTCTTCACTTCACCTATCCAGTGTATAGGTTTTTCTCATAATGACTATAAAGCACGTTCACACCAACAATATGTTTGATACTCTTCACTATGATATAGGTCCAGCTTATCTCTCTTTGGATAACTTGTGTCCAGGGTTACTTACTGATGAGGATTAGAATTCTCCGAAACTATTATAGCCCAATAACAATGTTGATCAAAGTGTAGATTGAACTGGACCTCCCTTTGAACTTAAACTTTGAGATTACACAATTTTCGGAATACTAAGTATATTTAATATTAACCCCTCGAATTAAAAAAAATTACAATAATTCAACAGGATGAAGATCGCAGAACTGAAAAGGTTGAAGGCTTTATAAGAACTGCATTGCTCAATGGTTTTAAAAGAACTCAACTGACAACTCTTAAAAAATAAATGAATTTACATGAAATTTTTATTGCGCATTACAAACGAAACGTTAGTTTAACATTTTTTGCTTCACATTAAGAGTGAAGTATTGATTTGGAGTTTTAAGAGTGTAGCCTTGGTTTTGCATTGTGCTTCACGTTAACTGTGAAGTGTTTATAGAATTGCTGCACTTTTAGTAATTATTATTTTGTTAGTGAAATTTCACCGAGGTTATAGCAATGATTAAAATTACTGTATTGTAATTTAATTGGGGTCATTTTCTGTTGACTGTTTTGCTTTTTTTCACTCAGTTGAACTTACAAGCGGAAATTACACGCAATGCAGGAGCTTGAATGGGTAATGAAGAAAAACTTTAATATAACAGCAAATGTACAACGTT